ACTGTACTGTCACCACATCACGCCCATGCAAGTACTGGTTGAATCTGCTTGCACGCAAATACTATTGCTTGGCATTCTTTCTCTATTTGCGCATAATTCTGTTCAGCAGGTGTTAGTGCTCTCGAGGCGAACGCTACCGGCTGTCCTTTCTGCATCAATGTAGCCCCTAGTCCAAACTGCGAAGCATCGCACTGTACTGTCACCTCATTCTCCACATCATAGAATTTCAATACTGGAGCTGATGTGATACACCTCTTAATAGCATCAAAAGCTATCTCTTGCTGATTCTCCCATACGAAGATTGCCTCCTTCTCCGTCAACCTGCGGAGAGGTTCGCACATCTCGGACAGATTCGGCATGAACCTGGATAAGTAGTTTACCATCCTAGAAATCTCTGTACTGCCTTCTTATCACATGGTTTAGGCATGTGAGAAATCGCATCTACTTTAGCTGGATCTGGCTTCAATCCATGACTCGTCAATAATTGTCCCATGTATGGGCATTTCAGTAAGCCTCAATCTCAGCTTATGCCTGTTTTTAAACCTTAAAATTTGCCTCACGTGCTCGTTGAAGCAAATTCAACAGATTGCGATCATTGGTCTGCACTGCTTCTGCCATTGTGTCACCACTGCCATAGCACAGTATGTCATCAGCTATAACTTCTACCCCAAGGAGTCCATCAAGAACTTCGACCTGACGTCGCTGATACTCTTCAGGAGCGCTACTGATGCCTTGAGGCATTCTCAGATATCTATATCGACCGAAAGGTGTCCAGAAGGTCGTAAGATAGGAGCTTGGCTCATCCAGTTTCACCTGGAAAAATCCATCTTTAGCATCCAACACAGTAAATACCTTAGCCTTGGCTAACTTGGGTAGGATCTCTTCCACAGTCGGCATCGGTATTTTGGACGTTTTCGCCTTATTCAAGTCCCTTGGATCAATACATACCCTCAACTTATTCTGGCTTTGTACCGCTACTAAGCTGCTTATCCACTCAGTAGGCTTGGTGACCTTAGCAATAATCCCTTGCTTTTCCATATGGTCTATTTTGTCCTTGAGTCTGTCCTTGAGAGGTACGGGCACTCGCCGCGGTGCATGTTGAACTGGTCTTATCTCAGGGTCTATTTCAATGTGATATTCTCCCTGTAGACACCCCAATCCTTTGAACACATCACTGTACTCTCTCTCTATCCCTTCTCTAGTTAATATCTCCGAGTTTGTCATGTTTACTCTCTTCAAGGACACCCATTTGTATTTAACACATGTAGCCCCATCGAATATGGGCCATGGTGCTTTCTCTAGAATATCGAATGTCACTTTATGTTCAGCTCCTCTCTCACGTGACACCGGCAGTGTGTATCTTCCTCTTGGAACTACTACTGTACCATCATAGAGTTTGATATCGCCTGTCGAGGGCAACAATATTGGTTTATTGTTCCCTAGTATTCTCGTCAAATCTCTGTACGACATGGCACTGCATGTCGCACCTGTATCAAGCTGAGAATTCATGACAACTGTTCTTTCCGCTGCATGGTACTTCACTGGCACCATGAATATGCCACCTGTGCTGTTGATGTGACGTAGCGAATACACCGATTCATCAGAATTATCACTCTGTTCATTTACGTGATGCAGGCTTTTAGGTTTCTGCCAAGACTGCTTAACTCTTGGCACCTGACCCTTGCACACTGCTGCGAAGTGGTTCATTCGGGTGCATTTCTTGCACTTCTTCCCAAACGCAGGGCATTTATTCCTATCCAATTCATGCAGATAACACACCACTTACACCTACTAGTGCTATTCTTCCCGGCCCTATTCACTGCGGTCTAGGCCTTGAGCTGCTGGTCATTTGCTTCCTTGTTGTGTGCACTAGCCCTACTCCATTGTTTGGACTTGCCATCCGATCTGGATACTGCTCTCTATGAATTTTCGACAATTCTGCTGCGCGCAGTACTTCTATGCAGCGATCCAGCGTTGGGACGGGTCTCTCTTTAGTCAACTTGTCAGCGGACCTCCTATCTCTAGTGCCTCCACATAACTTATCTCGAATAAGACCTCCTTCCAACATGTCAAATTCGCATGTTTCCGCCAGCTGTCTTAGACGGACAACAAACTGGTCTATCGTCTCGTTATCTGTTTGCGTAGCCAGCAAAAACTTGTTGCGTTCGAAAAGTACATGCTTCTGTGGTATAAAGTGTTCACCTAGTTGCTTGAGAATCAATTCTGGATTTTTCTTATCCTGCACAGACAAAGTAGGTAGGGTGTTCATAATCTTGACACATTCCGGGCCCATTATGCTACACAAGGCTGCAGCTCTGAACTATTCCACTTTTTTCATTTAACTCCGGTGCTATTGCATAATAATCCCAAGCTTGTCTGAATACTTTCCAATTTGTGCTCAGTTCTCCTTTCATCGACATAGGAAGTGGAGCGGGTATCTGATATGCAGCCATACTGGACTAGTCAACACAATCCAGGCTTATAGAATCTGACTCATACAGTGTTCATATGTCCTTTGCATATGTACGACCCTGAAACTCCATCGAATCTTGGCTCTTCATATCTCCACATTGCATCTCCCCTGTGACTCGCCAATCCTTTGTCACTGTCCTCCGCTATTTTGGCGGGAAAACTGTCACTGCCTCGGCACTGGAGCCTTCTCCATGATTCCTCCAATTACTCATAGTTCTCATCATTTCAGTCCCTATTCTCTTAATGCCTCGTGTCTACGAGTGCTGGCTCCACTTCTGACACCATGTTTGCCTAGACGTTATTCATTTATAAAGAAGTCTCTTCAAGACACAATCGACATGTTGTGTAATGCAACTCGTTTATTCCACCATACTCTCCAGCACCCCGAGTCCCCACGCATACTCGTGGCGCCACCTCTTGGTGCATATATCAACATCCATAACAACCAGGGTACGTTCCGGTATACCGGACCGTACCCAGGGTACGTTCCGGCAGTACCCTGGGGGACATAGACCCTATGAGCGTTACGAGTTCGATCCTTATTCGAATAAGGAACTGGAAACTGGGAACTGGTAACTGCTTTGCCTAGTTACTAGTTCCTTATTCGAATAAGGAACTGGGTACTGGGAACTGGGAGCTAACTTCCCTGCCCCTAATGATAGCAGTTTTAAAAGTAAACATTTCTGTAAACATTTACCAACGAATAGCAGCACGTAACAACTCGTGGCAACGCGCCAAAACGCATCAGTATCAAATTGTGTTTAACAAAGCGAATACAAGAGAGACGTATACTCACACTATTACATCGGTAACTAATAACCACATCGCGAACGTGTGAAACGTACAGTGTGTGCAGCAAAGTATATATAGCGGGACTTATAGCGTGCACAGATCTTGTATACACATCGCTGCATGCAACCTTTACTCGCTCTAATTAAAAATTCTCTCGTATGAAATCGAGTTATGTGCAAAGGTGCTCGCACATATTATTATTAGCTAAGGTTTGAAGATCACCCGGCTAAGGCCGATGTTATTGTGTCATTATAACCGTATCGATAAACTTTCGCTGCGATTAAAAAATGAGTTGTTACAGTGCTTGCGCAATCACAGAGCATCATACCTACTATTATTATATAACTAGTAGCTGAACGGCTAAGTTACCCGGCCTCTTAATGCCTTGGAAATTTTCTTTGCGTATCATTCCCGATACGTTGACATTTAAATGTACGTACATTATTTATTTCCCAATTATACGAGGCTATACATAAGGATATCCAGAGTCGTTTCTGGGATACAGCCATCTTGTCATTAATGCAAATAGGATGCTGATTTGACAACGCTTAATGCTGCGCGACAGTCCGGTTTATTATAGTCATTAAAATAAATGCGGTTTTGCGTTTACCGTCACGTCAATTTAACACGTATCAACTAGCGATCATAGCCTGAACGATCAAGCTGTGACCATGACCATCACATGTATAGGCAGAGTCTATTACAATTACCATTACAATACCATGCCCTTCCGGATGACACATTTGAGCATTAAAGATCACGACATCGCGTATTTTAGTGGGATGACACCTGGTGCATGGTATGCTAGGCTCGAAGTATGCTAGACGCAAGTGACCATTTGTGAATAGCGTACTTGCGCCTATACATATATAGGCCTACATTAAAAATGACCGAGGTAATGTTTAAATTTATGTCACCTCGCAGCGAAATGTATTCTATATAAATATTATGTACATATATATATATATATATATATATATATATATATAGCGAGCACGGTTACGATATTCTAAAGCCAGAAATTTGGAGTAAATTTTCGATTCTACAACGCCTTTCACAAAAAGAATTTGCATATATAGACAGATCTATACACTAGAAATGGAGCGACCAACGATACCGATATTCGTACCAACGATAACAATAAGCGTACACGAGCGCTAAATAGTTCCTAGCACAAAAACAGATATAGTAGTTAATTAGTTGTTACATTAGTTACAATAACTAATTATTGTATTGCATACACCACAATATGTTGCGTGTAGTCACTGTGTGAATCACCAGTAACGGATAATGCGCAAGCACGCAGCCTGAATTCATACATTGTAACCAGGATGCGCGCTAATCTCTCAAGACAATATAATTTAATAATATAATATAATTTAATAATAAATATAATTAAATATATATATATATTTATCATTTGATTTAGGAGATGCCGTGATTCCAGTAACGCTGTGAATTTATGAAATTAGATGAAAAGATTAATAAGGCATTTTCTCATATAACAGCGAATGAGTCGGTGATATCAACTAGTGTGGTCAACTTCTAGGCCTGACCGAGCCGTGTGGAGATTGAGCTTAAAACGTCGGAAGTGTTCCATAAATGTATGATATATATCATCAAGAGCTAATAATAGCAGGAGTGTATAATTACAAATGTCGTTATCGTGACGCGTATATAAAGACGTGTATAATGACGTTTGTCATTATACACTCCTGATAATACCTTATTAGCCAAACTAAGCTCAGCTTAATATTATCTAATAATGTCAGGAGTGAATAATAGAGATTAGATCTCAATTATTCACTCCTGATAATATTATTAGCTCTTGATATAATCATGATCCTCGTGTCGGCTCTTACTTGCGATTATGCAAATGGGGCAGAGGCTGCACGTGTGAATACAACGGTATTTTGTAAGGAAGCCTACTAGATCGATGGCTAGCGATTGTGCGACAAATAAGTAGGACAACATAATAGTAAACAAGAATCGTATTAATACGTCATACCGTTGTCACGTACGCACGATGTGCACTGAAATTTCGCCCGTTGCAAGAAAATACTTAAGTTTCAATCTAATTGATAAACATGTTTACAGTGGACGATGGGTATGCCAAGGTAATTAGTTCTTGGCTTGCCATCAGGCGGGTAGTAGCCTAATCGGATATTCGACCGCATCTTCAATTATAAGGCTACCATTCGATGAGAAAATGATTTTCCTCGATTCGGAACACCAAGTGATTATAAGTTTTATCTAGTAGGTGACGACTGGCCACATTCAGCAGTTGTATTCGCCAGTGCTGTTAATAGTTAATGCGACAAAAGCATTTTAATTGAGAGTTGTTCATGTAGCATGCAAATCTTTACAGTTTAGTATCGAAGGAAATGTTTGATTTAAAAAAACCGCATGTGTAATGAATGACGCATTATCATTGCTAAGGCTCGCATCGATGACATAATTTGAAGGTCATTACTGCGTGTTTCGCAGCTGTAGCTTATAATGAAACAAGGAACATAACATTAACAAGGAATAAAGCTGGAACCCCTGAAGCATTTTCTTCCTCAGCTACCAAACAACAATGTCCATAATAACATATAATAACATATAAGGCCAGTACTGTAAATAGCTACTAAGCAGCTATTTTGAGCCCGTGGTCAGACCTTATACTTGCGTATGGATGACACTTGCACGTGTCATACAGGCCAACGCAGCTAGGCAATGTAATGAGACAGGCGATGAATAACTATACGCACCGCTGTACTGAGCGTGATCTGAGGGGTCGGCGTAACGCATCTTCCATCTTGTCCGTTCATCATTTCACGGCCGAGAATCGCTTCACTTCTAATCATGGCTTCCTTGTAAATTATTCTCCAAGTCTACGTTCTGTAGAGCCAGGTTATCATGCTCTGAAATACTGAATCACAATGCTCCGTTGCGAATTAACTAGGCAAGTAGTCACTAGCCAAGTTGTTATATATATATTTGTGAGTCGTGCGCAACGCGAAAAAACGGCAAAATTAAGAGAAAATATCTGAAATATTATGACATATATGACATGTATTTAAATTACAGAATCCGTGCCACCTGCAAAAATTGTAAAGAGAAATAAAAGCATAGGTAAAATTGTCCTTTTATGTCCAATTACGCCTCATCTTCGTTCGGACGCAGACGAACGTACGTGCCCTAGCACACGCGTACAATCGTATGTACGCACATACGCACGCACACATACATACATACTGACTCACGTAATCACACGCACATCCTCGCATCACAAAAACATTAATTATATCGCGCATATAAAACAACTTGACGACGGCCTGCGACTCCTACTAGTTCACAGTCCATAACATGCTAAGGTAGAAAACGCCTCTGTAATGATAATGTCAAACGCATACGCGACACGATGGCTGAGCAAGCGAGTGGGCGTAGTTGTTGAACGG